TCTATAATCATTTGTTATGAAAAATGTGTGTTACTGTATTATCTTTTTATGACGTTTCCCATTCGTAGCCCATTACTGAGGGTCGAATTATTGAACTTTAAGATTTGTTGGCGAAGAAGTAATGTGAGATTGAGGGAAAACCGTAAAACTTTTGTCTGTTTTTCCGGGGTCTGGCGAGTGGATAAGGATTTTTGTTTTTAGACGAAAGGGCAAAGAGAAACCGAAGAGTGCTAGCAGTGCCGAATGTACTGGAGGGGTCGCTAGTATGTTTTTGTGAGTGTGGTTTCGAAATAGGAGAGGAAATATGTTACAAAGATTAGATTACTACCGAAGATATTAGTGCATCGATTTATACTTTGTAGTAATAGTCGTAAAAGTATTTTGTCAGCGATCAGCTCGTTGGGCTTTCATTCGTATGCTCTATTTTACATCGTTCTTTTCTTTTGTAATGACATATTTTTCTATAGGGAGAACAAATTTTTGGTCATCTTAAGATTACGGGGAATGAAGGTCTTAATTATATATATTTGTTTTTTGATATAGGTGTGAATTATCGTCTACTTTCTCGGTAGCATGATAAGGAATTTATTTGACGATGTAACTGATTTCACATTTAGAAAGGCACGCTTAAAATATAGCACAGATGTTTCACATTACAACATACTTTTTGCTAGAAAAAACTACTGGAGAAAATTCTCCAAAGTAACCAATATTTGTAGCTTATTTTATAATTTTATTTGCTGTTAAGTTACACTGAAATTGTTCACAGTAGTGCTTGCCCGAAATCTTAGTTACATTGATACCCTTCAATTAATGAAGAACATATAAAGCACATATAAAGCTTGCTGTTGACTAAATTTCAAATGATTTTAACCATGGAATTTGAGTAAGCCATAGAACATTGTTTTTGAAAAGTCGGCTGTAGTGGGAGTTAGGAAATTTATTTTGCTTGGGATATATACATGAAACGTCAAAAGGAGTCAATAAAGTAATTTTTTCCCAAAACGCAAGAAATGAAATCGACGTGTGTGTAGGATATACCACTTATGAATTGGATAGAACGTGTAGGAAGGAAGACGGTAAACAAAATTTTTTTCAGTTTTTTTGGATTTCCAATTAAAAATCTAGATTTGGAGGCCGATGGAAAAACTATCAAATAGTGTTTTATGATGTATTTTAGTTGACGATTGACAATTCTTCGATGAAGGCAGTTAGCAAACCAATGTAGCTGAAAGTTTATGACCAGTGCTATTTTCTTAAGCAAGCAATACTTCTTTAAGAAGTCACTTCTGACTAAAAATAGTATTGGAAGTACCTGTGTTAAATATTGCTGTCTTTATAAAGGTGAGTATGCCAAAAGATGACAATGAAAATATTGTTACAGGTCGACAGTTTCTTGTATCTGACTAGTTGAAACGAGGATTGATCATCTCAGCTTATTCCTTTGTCTGTTTCCAACTTCTGATTGATACATAAATCCTTGAATATTTACTGTATTGTGGTTTATCAGTGTGGTTTACAACGTCACGAAAGTTGCGAAAGACGTGTAAAAAAATAATTTCCCTCAAGATCAGCAAAAATTATATGTTCACTGATAACGACTGAAATCAACGATCAAATGTATATAAGAAAGAATTGTAGATAAATGTGACCCCTATTGACAAACAACACCACATTACGCCACGCCGTCTTTAGAATGCTTATGACTTCGTCTTTTATCGTTTGATGCTTTGCAGTTTTCTTCATCAAATCCCCATAACTTTAAACATTCGAGTGGCACGATTTAGCAAGTTTTTTCTGGTCTGCAAGGTAAGCATTTAAAAATTTCACTGCAAAAGTAAGTTTGAATTGTGTGACATTCCAAAAGATATTTTTAGTATGCATTTTTACGCTGAAATCTTCTTGGTAATAGTGTTCCTCATTCTATTGACAGCTGAAGTCTAAAGGTTATTTAAGCTCTGAAGTAATTTCCTGTTTTGTTGTTCGCTTTTTCAAACGAAAAACTATTCTTACATGTCTCTTCATTTGAAAAGAACTGTATCAATTGAAACAAAGAACATTTTGGTTTACTTACCTCTTTTTTCTGGCAGGTAGAATTTTGAAATCAAGATACTGTTGATATCAAATTTTTCACTTCATTCAAAATCATCGAAAAGATTACTTTGCAATTAGATTCAGTAACGTGTCTATTTTAAATATATTAATGAAATTTGTAAAAGGTGGCTGCGAAACGAAGGCGAGTCTGCAGATCGAATTATCGGGATCACTGTTGAGGGTGCTGACGCTTTATTTCCGTCAAATGGCGCATTTTCCGCTATCTTCAGATCGTTTTTAGTGCTTTCACTTTTGCACAGCGTTCCCCGAATTTGATCCTCTCCTCCTTAACCCCCCATCCCCCCTCAAAAAAAAAAGTGTGATTTTACAAGTAATGCAGGCATTAACCTTGCAGTACAAGCCGCTGCTCTGTTTGTTTTTATTGTCCGTTGTGACACTTTTGCCTTTTTAATCTTTTGGCAGTTGTCTGCGCACAGAACGAACTTCAGATCACTTACAAAAAGATTCAAGAAATAAGCTGTTTTTCAGCGCCCAGAGAGGTTTGTTTCTTAGTTCCACTTGCGAATTTGAGTGTGGAATGAGCTGGCACTTTTTTTTTTTAATGCTCATTCTTGATTTAGTGCAGATCTGAAGAAGATCAAAATATACTGTGTGAATACTGCAGTTTTATGAGGACTTTCATTAATCAATTTCTTAGACCTGTTTACAAATTTATTAGACGGTTGTTCTTGCAATTTTTGTTTTCGACGTCTTATATTTTTTTTAGAGTCTGTTGGACCGCTTTAGTTTCTGGACCCTTCATACCAGATTTAAAAAAAAAAATGTTTCTTTATTTTTTGTTGTGACTACATTGGTGACCTACTTGAGTATCGCGGAGAAAATGTATGGAAATTGTATTCATGCATTTTTGAACAAATTGTTGAAAAAGATTAGGAGTTCAAAAGAACTGATAAAAGAACATTTTGAAGGCTGGTTCATAATGCTAAAAAAGTAAATTAATGGGTTTTTTTAAGGTTTACAAATTTTAAAAGGAAGGTGGAAAAGATTAACTGGTTTTACTGAAGCTGATTAGATCAGAAATTTTCATAGCAATACTTTTTCCAATAGTTAAAACAAATCAATTTTTCGTCAAAATTGTGGACTTATTTGAACCTTTTGAAGTGTGGTTTCAGGAAACGACGGAAGCGTGCGATTCTTTTAGTGGACGAGTTTCTTGTAAAAGCCATGAGCGTAAAGATACGCCAGAAAAGTTCAATGAAAAAAAAAATGGCACTGATACCAGTATGTCTCACTACCACTATACTGTACTGCATTTTGAATTTTCTAAAGACTTTTCTATTTTTGCTTGAGATGCTCAACAACCTGCTTTTTGCAATTAAAAATTAAAGGTCTTAGACTTGACCTTTAGAGAGCTGACTCTCAAGAAGGTATCGGTAGAAAGCAAATGCTATTTAAAATACTAATCATTGGTGACGTGGGTACTGGTAAATCATCAATCGTAAGGCGATATGTTCATAACTTGTTCAATCAGTACTACAAAGCTACGGTACACTTTTTATATCTTTTTGAAATTGGAAGGGTGAGTTATTAACAGTTTTACTTTTAACTAAGGAAGGAAATTCCCAGTTGTAGGTTGGTGTCGATTTTGCTTTGAAACTACTAGTATGGGATTTGGACGTGCTGGTTAGGTTACAGTTATGGGACATATCAGGTAATTAGTGCTGATTTTCTAATTTAAATGATTACCTCATTAAAGTTGTTGAAAAGGACGCGTTTTATATCAGTTTTTTTTTTT